GGGTTGCAGGCTTGAGCCCCAGTGGGGGGCATGAAGGAGGCAGCCCATTGATCAGTGTTTCTCTCTCATCATTGATGTTGCTATTTCTCCCTCCCCTTTTCCCTCAAAAATCAATAAAAATGTATTGCAAGAAAATTGTATATATTGAATGTGTATAACATGATGATTTGATATGATTACCACATTCAAGGTAATTAACATATTTATTTACCCAGTCCCATTGTGTGTGTGTGTGTGTGTGTGTGTGTGTGTGTGATGAGAGCATCTGAAATCTACTCCCTTGGCATATTTCCAGTATTCAATACAATATTAACTACAGTCATCATAGACATTAGATATCTAGATTTTTTTATCCTACATAAATTAAACTTTATATCCTTTGACCAACACCTCTCCCCATTTCCCCCACTCACTCTTAAGTCATTTTAAAGCTAACTTACCCTACATTAAAAAAAATAATTGTAATGGTCATTCTCTCTTCTTATATCTGTTCTTTTCTTTCACAGCAGTTATTGCTGTTTTTGCTTTTTGTGTACCTTTTTATTTAAAGTATATCTCCTCTAAATTCTCAGCTGCTAGAAGACAGTAGCGATTTTCAACCAATGTGCTGCGAGAATTTTAAAACATAAAATACCTGACTATTTAGTCGGGAGCAGTGACCTCTTTTCTCTTACAGTGTCAAGTAAAAAAAAAAATGGAAACAGCCAACACAACAGTAGTCAAATGGTGTGAATACATCAAAATTATACCGATTTTTTTTGTGTCAGATGAGCAAAAAATATATTTTTTGGTGTGCCGAAGAATTTTAGTAATTAGTTTTTGTTTGCCATGAGATGGAAAAGGTTGAAAATCTCTGGTATAGAGAATAGCACATAGAAGATCCTAAATAGCTACTTGCACAAATGCAACAGACACGTTAGTGCCTGTTACGTCACTCAACCAATATTTATTGAGTGCTTACAGTGTGTCACATACAAAGTATGGCTCTTCCTAAATAATGGACCTTCACAAAGAGGTGTCAGTCATTATATGCTTTGATAAAAAGAACTATGGATTACACCAGTTTTAGACTACATACTTTGGCCCTGACTGGTGTTGCTCAGTTGGTTGGAACATTGTCCCATACACCAAAAGGTGGCGGGTTCGATTCCCAGTCAGAGTACATACCCTCGATGTTTCTCTCTCTCTCTCTCTCAAATCAATAATAACAAGAACTGCTAGACTATATACTTTGCTTAGTTCACATCTCCTAGTCCAGTGGTAGGCAAACTGCGGCCCCTTGAGTGTGGCTATTCCACAAAATACCACATGCAGGTGCGCACGTTCTGTGTGATTGAAACTACATGGCTACACTCAAGGGGCCAAAGAGCCACATGTGGCTCGCGAGCTGCAGTTTGCTGACCACTATCCTAGTCCCTTTCCTCTAAGAGATACAAGAGACCTTATTTTTAAGTAAGCCTATTTCTATACACTGTTGAGGTCATCATAAACTATACAAAGTATCTATAAAACAGTGCAAAATGGACTTCATGGACTTCTCACTGTTTAGATCTACATTCCATCTGTATATCAAAATGCCTCCCTCTATATGCTTGCTCCCCAGACCTCAAAAGGGGGTCATATGATCTCATACTTTTGGTCAGTTTACCATATGTATTGAGCATTAACTGACGACCAATAATTCAATATTTTCACAGAAATTTCATTGGAAGAAGAAACATAAATTGAGTTTTTCCTTGGCAAATTATGATATCTCACTTACATAGTGTGCAACTGCAAAGGCAAAGCAAGGGAGAAGAACCACGTGGGAGAGCTTTAAAGACTAGCACGCTCCTTTCCAGTTTGTCCTCTAAGTTTTGTGTATATTTTCTAGGCTGAGCAGACAATGTCAGAAACCACAGAAGGGACTTTAATCCAGTTCTAATCGCTGGTGAGGGAAAAAAAATGCTCTGGTGGTTTAGAGGAATGTCAAAAACTAAATCAAGATAAGGAAACACACTAAATAAGTTATTCGCTAAATTGGTTTACATTCGGCTCACTAATAGATTTTCTTCTAGGCATGTCCAAGAGATGCAAAATTTAAAATGTAACTAATACCACCTTACCAGGGATGCATCTTGTGCCAAGCACTGGGTAGAATTTCCCTAAGGAAACTACAGAAGCATGAGCAGTTTGGTTCTGCCCCAGTGCAAGTAACTAACTGAATGAATGAATGAATGAATGGGTGGGTAAATGGATAAATCAATGAATAAATGGTTAGAAAACCATTTAAAAATACATCTACAGTTTATTGATGATTTTTTAAAAAATATATTTTATTGATTTTTTTACAGAGAGGAAGGGAGAGAGATAGAGAGTTAGAAACATCGATGAGAGAGAAACATCGATCAGCTGCCTTCTGCACACCGCCTACTGGGTATGTGCCTGCAACCAAGGTACGTGCCCTTGACCGGAATGGAACCTGGGACCTTTGAGTCCGCAGGCAGATGCTCTATCCACTGAGCCAAACCGGTTAGGGCTTATTGATGATTTTTTTTAAGGTGAAGAAATAATCTTAAAGAAAAAAGATGGAAAGGAAAGAATATTTTTTATAACAACCCTTGTGCTACTGTAATGAGTATTGAGGCCACTTCCCTAAGACTGTGAGAGTAAACACAATTTTCATGAAATGTGCCTTTCCCATCACTGGTCCATAAGTGTTTCCCGTGACTCTGCAGTTGAGTATCTTGGCTGAGAGAGGACCTGGCCATTAGAAAGAGGGCTCTAGATGTGCTGAGCCCCAGCCGTGCCGAGAGACTTGGCACCTTCCATGCTACTTGCTAATACCAGCCCCAGCATAAAATGTCATCAGAAGCCTGCATAAACATTGGACTTAGCTTCACATAAATTATTTCTGTCCTAAGGTGCTGGATGCCAGAATTTAGTAAAAACAGCACTTTGAGTAAATAGAATTGGCATATAAATGTGAGAATATTAATCCAACAAAATGATCGTAGAAAAATATTATCAAAAGTACACACTTGTAAATCTTGCAATGATGTGAGAGGTTGATCCCGTGCCTCTGAGTTTTTATTGAATATTTCCATAGAGTTCCTTTAAACTGATGCTGCCAAGGTGCTTTGAATGATCAGCTTCTTTGTGGAATTGTGGTCTTTGAGTTTCATTAAAACGCTTAGGAATTATTTTAATAATCATATGTGTGGTTAGTGCCTATTCAGTACTGGATCTACAAATTCATTTTAAGAGTAAACACCAAGGCAATGAAATATAATGCCAGATATGATTGCTCCTGTCAGCAAAAACAATGTCTTATTTTATTAAAAACTCCAACAAAATGGCATGAACAAATGATACAGTGTCTATCTGCAGATATTTCCCACTCTACAGTATTATGGTATCTGCACACCACAAGGCTGTACCTAGCAGAATTGTCATCTTGCCTGGGTTATGCGCATAAACAGAGGTACCGAGCCCTTTTTCATATGTGCACGCATCTTATTAGGTACAGGTTCCCCCAAAGCCCCATTTGGATTTCTGCTCTAATATAACAGTGCTCACACCGTCAGTACTGAGTATTTATAAGTGAATGAAGATTTCCTGAAAATGATTATTTAGCTATTGGCAATAATAACATTATAACATTTTCAGTGATCCATTTTGGCTTTAAGTACTTATTAAATAATATTTATTCCTCAAATATGTACTTGCAAAATTAAATGAGATTGCAACATGCAATAAAAACGCATTTCTCTCTCAACTCGAATTGACTCCATTCCTCACAGATATCTCTCCTCGTGTTCATTCTGCTTTTTACTGTTTTCTACTCTCACTCTGAACTCTCTGCTGTTCTCTCTGATGTGTTGATATGCTTTCCCCGAAGCCACACTCTTTATCCACTTTCCCTACCCACTCGTCCCCTTCTTGTTATTCTCCATTCCCTACTGACATGGGAATAATAGGATCCCAAGGCTGTCCTTACACTATAATTAAAGTATGAATTTCCAGGAGTTGGAAATTGCAGACCATTTTTATTATGCTTCTATAATAAAGCCAGGTAACACTGAGAGAATTAAAATAGCTTTGTCCTAGCAGATAACTTGGTAAAGATTTTTTCTCCTTGGTTCTATTGTTTGAAGAGATTGGGAGCTGAAAATGGGAATAGATTCACCAATTCTTTTTTCTGAAAACACCTCTATCTTTTACGTGATATATATCCCCCCAGATCCTGGGGATATGTTGTAAACTCGTAACAGATGGTGATGAAGCTTCATATTTTTATATAATACATTTTTTTTGAGATTCTGCATCTACTGTATGTATCTTCCAGGGAAAATGACCTTGAAGGAATGAAGTCATAGTCTGAAGGAAAAACACCTCACAGATCGACTCGCATAGCAATGATGAGTCAATTGGATTTTGTTTTGTTCCCCTCGGTGAGATGGAATAATATCAGATGAAAAACAGAATGTTGAAATATGAGGATCAAAGGTCATCTTAACATTGGAGGTGCGTCTGTTAATTGTTCTAGGAAAACCGGTTAGCTGCATTCTGACTGAACCAGAAACACATGGGAGATGGAATAGCACTGTTTGCAAGTAGAAATGCTATTTGCTTCACTTGGGTAATGTTGGGGCCTTACCAAAAATTGTTCTGGCACAACGTCTACCAGCATGAATGTTAGGAGGGTTCTAACACTCGCAGTGCTGATATTTTATGAATGTTTTATCACTGGCTTGAAAACAAGAAGTTTGCAATTGAATCAACAACATGTCAGACAGACAAAATATTAAAAAAAAAAAAGAACATTAGTGAGAATTACTGATGTCCCTATTGTAAAAACAAACTGAAATTAGTAAGAAACGTGATCCTCTTAACTGATTAACAAAAGTCAGGTTTTAACTGTACAGCTTCCCAGGCAAATCAAGTGGCACTGTGAACTTGAGCATTGGTTGTGTCGTGTGCAGGAAAGGGGAGACATGGCTGCATATGCAGTTACCCACCTCTTTTTTCGACAGCTTCAATGCATTGCTTTACGAATCGCGGAACTGTGGAATTTTCACGTTCACACACTTTGTGCAGATGAGAGCCAAAAATTTGATCTGCAAAAGAAACAAAGATGAGCTTCATTAAAATCCAAGCTTGTGTTGTTCTTTAATTTGATTCTGTTTCCTTATCCACTGCATGATGGAATCTGCATCTTGCATAGGAATCAATTTTTTGCTTTAATTCCGGAGTGTCTATTGCAGGCATGCAAAGACCATAACTCTGTCCCTTATAGAACAGGACCCCAGGTCCAGAGAAAGAAAACCAACAATGATTAAGTAGGGGTGCCTGAATGAATTATAGTCTCTCTGGGCTTAACTTTGTTGTCTATAAAATAATGAAAGAGAATTAAGTAAACTTCTACAAAATAATGAATCTTAATGAACTGATGTCTTGAGTGTTTTAGAAGAATTTTTCAATGATCATCAAAATTATGATTTTGTCAGTATACTTAGAAAATTCATTCTGTGGCTCACTGATATTTGACGAGGCAAGTGCCAGGAGACTTAACTTGGAAGTAAATTTCTAAACATTTCTTCTGCCTCAAATGCCCTTCCTCTAATCTAAGTATCCCATTTTCTTTTGGGCTCAGCCCAGAGAGCACTTTCTCCACAAACTCTATCCTTCTCATCTCAGCTTTGTGTCTCCAGTAGCATAGGTTCTCTGGAATACCAGTTCCTTGGGATATTAATAGGTGATGTGGGGGAAAGGGCTGTGGTCAAAATGGTTTAGCAACATCGGGTTAAACAAAGTTAACCAGTTTCTTTTATATATATTTGTTTTAGAGCTTGCGATGTGCCAAGGCCTCCTGGGAATCTCCATGAGGGGCCTGAAGAATCACTATTTCCCACACTTATTCGGGTAATTTCAAAAGGAATCTCTCGAGACTAATGTTTCCGAGAACACGCTGGACGAAATCCTAGCCTAGCCCTCTCATTTAGAACATGATTTATGCCACCTTGCATTGTGTATTTACATTTATAATATATGAAATACATTTTCTCAGAGTAGACCCTGAGCGCCTGCATCATCCATGTATTCTTAGAGTCACCAGTGCTTTGCACGGATTCTGGCCCACAGAATTCAACTATAGAACTTGAAATTGTGGTCAAATATACATAACATAAAATGTACCATTCTAACCATTTTTAAGCGTACAGGGCATTAAGTGCATGTATTTTGTTGTGCAACCGATACCACAAATCCATTTGCAAACTTTAAAAAATAGCATAAATGTTTATTACTGATAGAAACAAATATTTAGTAGCTTCAAGTAGTTGCTCAGAATGAAATCTAATTCCCTATCCCAACTTACAAGGCAGCTCAAGACCAGGCCTTCCACCCACTAATTGGTTTCATTTGCTACCCCTCTCCCCTGCATCACTTGCCTAGAGCCCTCTGCCCACACTGCTGATGCTTGTCCATACATCTGCCTCTGAACTCTGCACTTACTATTTCCTCTACATGGAACTCTATTGCTCTAGGTCTCTGATTAAATGCCACCTTCTGATTGTAGCCTATTTACTCTTTAAAAAACTGGCAAGCCCTGCCAACAGGAACTCTCCAGGTCACTTCCCTGCCTTTCTTCTCTTAGAGCGCTTCTCCCCACCTTACATATTACAATGATATATTTACTGGTTAGTTGCTCATTTTGCTTAGAATGTTAGGCTCAGGGAAGTAAGAACTATACCTACTTCTTTTATTATTGGATCCCAGTAACTAGACAATGTTTGGCATATACTAGAAGTTCAATAAAATTATTATTTTTTTTTTAGTTTTATATGTATTTATTTTATTCTTAACACATTCCTATATTGAATGATTGCCCAAAAGACATCATCTGAATAATGTGTGGAGATTTTCAATGAATTTAAAAGTTATCTTTAGCAGGATAGAGGAGAAAATATAAAATGCAGCATAATAGAAATCTAAATACTATATTATTACAAAGGGATAGTCAAAATGGAATGTGGTGAAACTTCAAGGAAGTCATGATTTTCATTCATTTCTTAGGAAAAGTGATGGCTTGAAGTTGGGACAACCCAGCAGGGAGGGAAGTGATTAAGGTTATAGAACTAATACTAATGTACTACAATATGAAACTGTGCATTTTTTATTCAAGAGACAGAAAGGTCAAGATGCCTCAACCTAGTGCAGAGAGGAAAATAATAAAATATCAAAGTTATGTTAAAAAACAGTGAGCCACCACCATAAGAAAGAATGACATAAAATATTAAGAAAAATAACCTAGAACCTCAGATAGGATAATTTACCTTGGTTAGATTTATAATCAGAAATAATTGCTATAAAGTACAAACTCCTTTAATGAAAATCATAATCCAAATCAAGTTCACAAATATTTATTATCTTTTATCATTATAGCAATGAGGTAGGCATATTAGATGATAAAATAGAAATCAAGAAGTTTATAATCTTATATGAATTAATAGGAGTATTTAAATAATAAACCAAACAACATAAGAGGTGACAGAAAAGATACTAAGTGCTAGGAAAGGTGTCCTGCAGTATAGGTATTTTCATGACATTCAGTGCAGATGTGGTTTGTGTGTGGTGGGGCGGGGGAGATGTTTGTGAGATGAGGGCTGTTTAAGAAAAATAGATTTCTCTATAAAGTGTATATTAAAATGTGGAGAAATTTTCTTTTGTTAGGAAGATACAGAAGACATGAAAGCATTTTAGAGCATTTACTCTTTAATTCACTCAGTTATTTGCAAATGAAAATCCTGAGTGCCTGCTCTGTGCCAGGAACTAGGAAGGGCAGCGTAATATAATAACCAAGACATGTTACTTATGCGCTAAAAATGTCTTGTCTAGTAGGAAGCATAGAAATAAACTGGTAGAAACACTTCATCATGAAAAGTCCAGTAACTGGGGAAGCACAGATGCAAGGAGAGGATGTGGCAGGGCATCAGACCAGCCTTGAGTCCCCATGGGAGACTTCCCAGAGAAGAGATGAATCCTCAAGACTAAGTAAGACTTAAACTGGAGAGTTAAGAGAGGGGACAAAGGGCACTTGGGAAAGACAGAGAGAGGAAAACGCACACATCAGCAATGGGAAGAATGATAGAAAGAATGTAGTGTGCTGAGGGAAACATTCACCCTCTCTTATTTAGACAAATCTTGATGTATTAATCTTTCAAAGGAGAAAAATTGTGTTGATGAAGGATCTTAAATATTAAGTCAGGTAGTTTAAATTATTTGAAAGTGTGCAGGTACCATTGATTTCTTATATATATGCTATTTCCCTCCCAACTTCTTATTTTTAGAGTCTACTCATAATACAACACCTGGAAATTTTATCCAATGACTGCTGCTTCCATTATAGCTTTGGGTGATTAGATAGTTTTGGACAGTGAAATATAAGGGGAAGAAACTTAGAAAACTACAAGAGAAGATTTTTTTATCTGATAAAAGAAGAGGGGTGTATGAAGATACTTTCTTTTTTTCCTCTGCTTTGAAATCATGTGATGCTGGGAGCTATTGCAGCAATTTTGTAACCATGAGGCAACAAGCCTGCAAGCAAAAGATAACATGATAAAAACAACACCTAAATCTACAAAAAACCTGAGACTTCAATGACATTGTTGAACTTTCAACCCAATCCTGAAATACATTCTCTAGACCAGTGATGGCGAACCTTTTGAGCTCGGAATGTCAGCATTTTGAAAAACCCTAACTTAACTCTGATGCCGTGTCACATATAGAAATTTTTTGATATTTGCAACCATAGTAAAACAAAGACTTATATTTTTGGTATTTATTTTATATATTTAAATGCCATTTAATAAAGAAAAATCAACCAAAAAAATGAGTTCGCGTGTCACCTCTGACATGCCGGTCATAGGTTCGCCAACACTGCTCTAGACTTTTTGTTATATGAGATAATATAACTGGGTATTCTATGGCCTGCAACCAAAAGGTTCATAACAAAATCTGGGGCGCAAATCATGTGGAAAATTAGACATAAGGAGCTTATTTAAAGGCTAATCTGATTGCCTAGGAAAGATGTTATGAATACCAGAATCAGGAAAGAGGTGTGGTAAATTTAAATTTCTTCATAATGCTCATCTCCTTGAATTAGATGTATATATTTAAATACTTTGCCATGAGACTCACTAGAGCAGCAACTTCTACTTCCTCAATGTCTTTATGTTGGGTGTGGCCATATGACTTGCCTTGGACAGTGCAGAGTGAGTAGAAATAATAATGTTTCATTTCTAGACTGAGACCTTAAGATACAATACAGACTTCTACTTTCCTGCTTACTTCTCTGCTAAGACCCAGACAAGAGCTTCCCTGGGTAACTACTTGACCTCTCAGTCTGGACTCCAGAATAAATACACATGGCACAGAACAGAAGCTGATTCTCAATGAGGAGGCAAGGGCAGTCCGATCTACAGCTTGGAGCAAAGCTGTTCAGTCAAGCCTGACCTAATCTGTCTCACTCACAGGCACATGAGAAGTGAATGTTTTTTGCTGTATGCCACTGAGATTTTGTGTTTGTTCGTTACGCAGCAATAGCTAATTGATGAAGATGATAACAGATATCAGTCTGTTTTGTTTTTTTGTGGGTTTTTTTTTGGTTATCTAAGCAATGCTGTGAGAATAAAAACAGAGAGTTGTTGGAATATGGAAACTGAAACTGGAAAGAAAATAGAAAAAAAATAATTCTAAATTTGCTAAGAATGTGGAATTATACATCAGTTTAGATCAGCGGTTCTCAACCTGTGGGTCGCGACCTCTTTGGGGGTCGAACAACCCTTTCACAGGGGGCGCCTAAGACTATCGGAAAACACATATATAATTACATGTTGTTTTTGTGATTAATCACTATGCTTTAATTATGTTCAATTTATAACAATGAAATTGGGGGTCACCACAACATGAGGAGCTGCATTAAAGGGTCGCGGCATTAGGACGGTTGAGAACCACTGATTTAGATTCAACCACAAGGAAGAGCCTCAGAGGAAATTGTTCTCATCTTAAAATTTAAACTCATTATGCCTCACCTAATATTATGGCACTTCTTAGTCTG